GAGAATCACACCTATGATTTGGTGAAGCCGCCTAAAGGGAAGAAAATTTTGAAAAATAAATGGGTCTTCAGACGAAAGAATGATGGGAACAGTTCTCAACCGAGATTCAAGGCACGACTTGTTGTGAAAGGTTTTGATCAGAGAAAGGGAGTTGATTTTGATGAGATCTTCTCACCAGTTGTGAAGATGTCCTCCATTCGAACTGTGCTTGGTATAGCTGCGAGTATGAATTTAGAAGTTGAGCAGCTTGATGTGAAGACCGCATTTTTGCATGGTGACTTAGAAGAGGAAATTTATATGGAGCAACCTGAGGGCTTCAAAGATAAGGGTAATGATCAGTTAGTTTGCAAATTGAAGAAGAGCTTGTATGGATTGAAGCAAGCACCGAGGCAGTGGTACAGAAAATTCGATGCTTTCATGAGTGAGAATGGGTATTCAAGAACCACTTCAGACCATTGTGTGTTTGTGAAGAAATATAAAGATGGTAATTTTATTATTCTCTTGCTTTACGTTGATGATATGCTTATTGTGGGCCAAGACACGAGTAAGATTAGCAAGTTGAAGTCAGAGTTGAGTAAGTCCTTTGCCATGAAGGATTTGGGTCCAGCAAAGCAAATTCTTGGGATGAGAATTGTTCGTGACAGATCACATGGGCTGATTTGGTTATCTCGGGAGAATTATATTAAAAAGGTTCTTGAGAGGTTCAATATGGACAAAGCAAAGCCTGTTAATTGTCCACTTGCAGGCCACTTCAAACTAAGCTCAAGTCAGTGTCCTACAAGTGATGAAAAGAGAAATGAGATGCAGAAAATTCCCTATGCTTCAGCAGTTGGTTCTTTGATGTACGCCATGGTTTGTACTCGACCGGATATTGCTCACGCAGTTGAGGTTGTCAGTCGATTTTTGTCTAATCCAGGGAAAGAACACTGGGCAGCAGTGAAATGGATTATGAGGTATCTTCAGGGCACTTCAAAGATGAGTTTGTGTTTTGGTAAAGGCGAGTCTATTCTTGATGGGTTCACAGATTCTGATATGGCTGGTGATGTTGATAGTCGAAAATCTACTTCTGGTTATTTGATTACTTTTGCAGGGGGAGCAGTGGCATGACAATCAAGATTACAGAAATGTGTTGCTCTCTCCACCACAGAAGCTGAGTTCATCGCCATCACTGAAGCTTGCAAAGAATTATTGTGGTTGAAGGAATTCTTACAAGAGTTGGGTTTGAAACAAGAAAGGTATGTCCTTCATTGTGATAGTCAGAGTGCAATCCACTTGAGCAAGAATTCTTCATTTCATTCGAGATCGAAACATATTGATGTTAGATATCATTGGATTCGTGATGTCTTGAATGATAAGTTGTTACAACTTGAAAAAATTCACACTGATGATAACACTTCGGATATGTTAACTAAGGCATTGACTAAGGACAAGTATGAGAAGTGTCGACTTTTGGCGGGAATGGTCGAATCCTCCACATAAGTCGGGAGGGGGAGAATTGTTGGGTTTCCCTCCTTTGTGGGACTCATCAATTTGCTAATTTTTTGGTGGCTTACCCGTGTAGGACTCTTATCCAAGACTTGGTTTGGAGTCTCCTAGTTAAAAAGGAATTTGGCAGCCACCAAAGACTATAAGTTTTGTCCTTTTTCTTTGGTTCATCTCTTCTCTGTTGGTTTGGCAAGAAGACATATTTTCGGCAGTCTTTGGTTCAACAAAAATTCAGCCTTCTTCTTCTCCTTTTTTTGGTGCCAGAAAAATCTGCAAATTTGTTCTTCAAGTGGGTAATATTTCTTCACTTGATATTTGGGTTTCTTGCGGTTTGTTCTTGGAGATTTGGTTCACTTATTTTGTGAGGTATTTTCCTCTTGTGATTTACACCTTGGTGTGTTTGTAAGGCTTATGCCTTTTGGCCACTTTGTAATCTGATTTGGTGATAGTGGAAGAAACTGACCTACCGGTCGTCGTGGATGTACCTCAAGTTATTTGAGGGAACCACGTAAATCTTGTGTGCTTATTTATTTTCTGTTATTTTATTTATATTGCTTCCATTGATTTACACTTGTGGGAAAGCCTATTTTCCCAACAGAGTGGACATGTAGTTCGCTAATCTGGCTGGTTTCTTCTTTTTCAGCTGCTCTTCTTCTTCTTCTTCTTCTTCATCTGATCAGCCCAACAAAGGGCAGCATTGGCTCCAATAAAAAGAGACCACCAGGGCCACCAGGATGGCCGATTGTGGGCAATATGTTTGATCTTGGAACAATGCCTCACCAAAATTTGTACCAACTTAGAACCAAATATGGATCGGTTCGTTGGCTAAAGCTTGGTTCAACGAACACCATGGTCATACAGTCTGCAAAGGCTGCTGCTGAACTGTTCAAGAAACATGATCTTCCTTTCGCGGACCGCAAAGTTCCAGATGCACTAACTGCCTTGTGCTACAACCAGGGATCATTGGCTTTTGGAAATTATGGTCCCAACTAGCGCATGCTGCGTCGGGTCTGCTCCATGGAGCTTCAAAACAATAAACGAATCAATGAGTCGGCTTCGCTTAGGCAAAAGTGCATTGACAATATGATAATATGGATCGAGGAGGATTCAGCAGCGTCGCGTGCACAGGGAGGAACAGGTGAAGTGCAACTGGTGAGGTTCCTGTTTATCATGGCTTTCAACGTGGTTGGCAACCTCATGCTGTCCAGAGATATTCTGGATAGACAGTCCGACGAAGGGCAGCTGTTCTTTGACGCCATGAACAAGGTCATGGAATGGGCGGGGAAGCCTAATGTAGCAGATTTCCTGCCATTTCTGAAATGGCTCGACCCAATGAGGATCAAGAGGAATATGGTGCGGGACATGGGAGAATGCATGAAGATTATCTCTGGGGTTGTAAAGGAGAGGGTTGAAGAAAAGCAGTCAGGAAGAGAGAAGATGGGAAAAGACTTATTGGATGTGTTGATGGAGTACGAAGGTGATGAAAAAGAGGGACTTGGCAAGATTTCAGAGAGGAATGTGATCATCATCATCCTGGTAATTTGGTACTCTACTACTAGTTGTATAGCTTACAAGTATAAATCAAATATTTACCAACCTTTCAATGATGCAGGAAATTTTTTTCGGTGGATCAGAAACTTCAAGTAGCACCATTGAATGGGCAATGACAGAACTATTACGCAGCCTTGACTCAATGAAAAAGGTTAGGGAAGAGCTTGATAGGGTCGTAAGACCTAACAGGAAGGTCGAAGAGAGTGACATCAATGAACTGCCCTATTTGCAGGCAGTTGTCAAAGAAACACTTCGATTACATCCAGCAATTCCTTTATTGATTCCACGGAGTGCAAGGGAAGATACCAACTACATGGGATATCTCACACCCAAAGATACGCAAGTACTAGTGAATGCATGGGCAATTGGAAGGGACCCCGAGGCCTGGGATGACCCTCTATCTTTCAAGCCAGAGAGGTTTTTAGGTTCAGATATCGAGTACAAGGGCCAGCATTTTCAGTTCATTCCATTTGGATCAGGGAGACGGATTTGTCTAGGCTCTTCCTTGGCTCATAGAGTGATTACCCTTAGCCTGGCTAGCTTGCTACACTCCTTTGACTGGGAGCTTGATAGGTATGCTACTCCACAGACCATAGACATGAAGGAGAGGATGGGGTTAACGTTGCGGAAGCTAGATCCCTTGAGAGCAATTCCCAAAAGACGAGCTATGTGAAAATGAATTGCTAGATAAAACATACCCAGGAGGCTGTGGGCATGTAAGATTACTGTTGTGTTCTCCTTTTTAAGATTGTATCCAAGCTTTTATGTGATTTACTTCTATGGTCGCAATAATCCCTCCTAGTTTTCTTTGTAATATGGAAAAACCGATCTTCCTTCCAGCAATTTGAAATTTCTTCAATGTGTATGACTATATTTTGCAGTCTAATAAATAAATTTTGAATCATGAACATTTGGTGATGGATTCAAAATTATTTTCAAGTCACATCGTCTTTGTTGAGATTGGCAACAAAACTAGTAATTAAAGAGAACTTGTTACTTTTCTTTCTTGGGCACTAATAATTAAACTTAGTGATGTTGATAAATTCATAAGAAATAATACTTAAATCCAAATTAATAAATTACAGATTATACCTAAAAAGTTAAGCCCAAAAAGGAGATTGCATTACATTCTCATACCCCAACATTAAGAGGAAGTACCATACGCAAAAATGAAAAAACAGCATTCCTAATACAATTAATCATAAGCATATAAGCTAAAGAGTTTTTGTTAGGTAAAAATGAAAAGAAATGTTAGAAAGGGCGACAGTAAACTGGCTGTGTTAGCTGTTTTCTGCATGAGGCCTTTCTTTTTATCTTTCTTAACATAAGAAAAAAACAACAGCGGACCAGAGAAAGCGATGAAACCCTACCTCACCCACCGCCTCTTTCCCTTTTCTTCTGGACACTCCTCACCAACCCCAATCTCTTCCATTAACTCCTATTTTAATCTTACCTGAATCCCCTTCTACCCTCTTGTGCATCTTTGTCTTTTCCCTTTTGTCCTTTCCCATTTGTTTCCATGTCAATCCCCAAGGTAACCCCTTTTGAAATTGAAAGGGAGTTTACTCCTCTCGGCATAAATGCTTGCTCGTTGTTGGGTCCATCAAATGGACAGGTCATTAAAGTGCTGCACAAAGCTTTTGAGAATGAATCTAACGGGAATACTATTGTCATGGAGGTTACCCCAAATGGAGTTGCTACTGTGGTGGCAGGATGCTCTGTTCCAAGTGATGTTTATGTTGTTGAGTGGTCTGCTGATATTTCTGTGGAAATACCCACCGCAAAATCTAGTTCCCTTGGTATGGCCCTTGATAATTCAGAGGGTACCCGGTGTAACGAGGCAGAGCCAAGTAACCTTGCGGAGCTAATGCGTGAAAATGAGTTGCTAAGGACGATGGTTGAGACCAATAGGAAGTTTGATCAAGGGGTTTTGAACCATTGAGGTTTGGCCACTGGTTGAGGAAATGAAAGAGATCCATCACAAGGGGGGTGGAAGGACTGGAAGTAACACATCCACTTGGGGTGGCAGGGGTGATGTTGGAAATGGCCATGGGAGCAAAACTACTGCAAGGTTGCTAGGGAAACAAATTTATGGAGCAACACCAAATCCATCAATAGGTACTCCTTCCAACCCTTCTCTTAATCAAGAGACTTTTGCTAGTGCTCTGGTTGAGAAGCAATCTGGCACATCTTGGGTCAGCAAAGTGAGGCATAACCCCAGATTAGTTATTGAGATGGAATTTATGGCCCCTAGCAAGAACAATGGTAGGATTACGGTCCAACCTCCCAAGCAAGTTGCTCAAGAGGGTTGCTCTAAATGGGAGGCAAGCATTGTGGGTTATTTTATTGGAAAGAAATTGCCTTATAATTTGGTTAAGGCATTTGCTTTGAGAATGTGGAGTACGAAGGGGTTGTTTGAAGTCATTGCCAATTAGGAGGGTTTCTTTTTCTTTAGATTTTCAAGCATTGGTAACCGGAATGAGGTATTGGAGGGTGGACCATGGCATATAGGAGGCCAACCCATTATTCTAAGGAAATGGCAACCTAGGCTTAAATTGCACAAGGAAGCTCTGAGGAAGATACCTGTCTGGGTGAAGTTCTTTAATATTCCTGATGAATACTGGACACCCAAGGGTTTCAGATACATAGCAAGTGCAGTGGGCAAACCACTTTACATGGATAAACTCACTGAAGAAGGTAGTAGAACTTCCTTTGCGAGAATTTGCATTGAAATTGATGCGGAGGAACCATTCCCAGAGACATTTGACTTACTGATGGAAGGAGAAAAGGAGGGAGATATTGAAACAGTGGAAATTAGAGTGGAATACCAATGGAAGCCCCCAAGATGTGACCAATGCAAGGTTTTTGGGCATAGTTGTCCTAAGATTCTTATAGAGCCTAGGATTTTGGTAAAGGAAGGTACGTCATTTGCAAATGATGTAATCTTTAATGGTGGAATCTCTAACCAGTCAGTGGTTGTTGAGGTTGCAAAGGATGGAGGAAATATGAAGTCTTGGAATAAAGCCAAAGATAAGGGGAAGGAGAAAATAAATGAAGAGAAGGGTGGCCAGATTACCATTGAGCTCCAAACTAGTCCTAGTGCTGTGTGTGGAGTTGTTCCTTCCCCAAACAAATTTCAGGCATAGTGTCTATGGCTCAAGGGGAGGAAGTAGTTGATGCTAGTGATTTTGAACCAGTTGAACCAAGTACCATGCTTGACAAAATCAAGATGGTTGGTGAAATTGAACAACTGAAAATTACCTCTACAAGGAAGAAGAATAAGAAAGCAAGGGGAAAGCTCAAAAATCTGGCCAACAGTAGCCTGGTGGTATCTCATGAGGGGATGGGTACTCCTCCAATTTCAAACCCTATTTGATAGATATCTCATGTTGGAATGTGAGAGGGCTAAATGGCCCTCTTAAACAAGCTGAAGTGAGGAGACAAATTAGTCAATCTAGAGTTGGGCTTTGTGGCTTGGTGGAAACAAAAATTAGGAGAGTTAATAATAAAAGGATCTTTAGAACTATGTACCCTGGTTGGAATTTGATTAATAACAATGATTGGTCCACGACGGGCAAGATTTGGGTATGCTAGGATCCTCTTGTTTATGAGGTTGAGAAGCTGGACCAAAATGATCAGGTTATCAATTGTAAGGCTACCTACTTGGCTAACAGGAGAGTTTTTTTTCCCTCTTTTGTCTATGCCCAAAATACTGAAGTGCTTAGAAGACCACTGTGGCTTAGCTTAGTGCAAAGACATGCATATATGATGAATAAAGCTTGGATTGTGCTGGGTGATTTTAACGTTGTGAGGTCTATGGATGAACTGTTGGGGGGATGTAATGCTAGAGATAAAGGTAATAAAGAGTTTTGTAATTGTCTTTTTAGAATGGAGCTTGAGGATTTAAAGTACTTAGTTAATCAATACACCTGGTGCAACAAAAGGTATAATGGTGGTATTATTGCTAGCAAATTGGACAGGATCCCGGTTAATTAATCATGGGCTACTGACTTCCCTGCTTCCGAAGGTTTTTTCCTAGTTCCAGGGATCTTTGACTACTCAATGGCCTTACTTAGACTTGGGGAGGGACAACCTAAGGGTAGAAGACCTTTCAAGTTTTTTTATTTATGGACCAACAATCAGGGTTTCTTTCCAATTGTGAGCAATGCTTGGAATACATAGATCAGGGGCACTCCTATGTTTCGGGTCTACCAAAAATTGAAGGTGCTGAAGAAAGAGCTAAAAGAACTCAACAAAAATTCATATAGTGACATCTCCACAAGAGCTATGGGGGCAAAGCAAGCTTTGGATGATGTTCAAAGGAAATTTGATAGAATCCTTATAATGAAGAAATCTGAGAGGAAAGGAGGAAGCTTCAAGATTATTTCCACTTGAAAGAAGCTGAAGAGAGTCTCCTTAGACAAAAATCCAGGGTCCAATGGTTGAACATGGGGGACCTAAATACAAGGTATTTCTTTAAAACCATTAGCAAGCAAAGAATCCAAAGGAGATTAACTACAATTGAGAAGGAGGACAGCTCCAGAGTTACTGATATGAGAAAGGTTAAAGAGGAGGTGTTACATTACTATGAAAATTTGTTGGGTACTCCGCACCCTCGGTCTCTGATTCCTATGCATTGGGTAAGGCAATTCATTACTCGAAGAATCTCTGGGCAGCAGGTTTGTGTAATGGAACAAATGGTTACTAGGAAGAAAATTAAGAAGGTCATGTTTTCCATGAAGGAAGGCAAAGCCCCAGGGCCTGATGGTTACTTTGCAGGTTTTTTCAAGAAATCTTGGCATATTGTTGGACGTGGTGTCACCGATGCTATTCTTTCTTTCTTTGAGAGTGGAAGGTTGCTCCAAGAGGTTAATTCCACAATCATTGCCCTTATTCCCAAGGTTCCCAGTCCCTCAAAACTTTCTAAATACAGACCTATTTCATGTTGTAATGTTATTTATAAATGTATCTCCAAGATTATTGCTAATAGAATCAAGGAGGTCCTCCCCGATTTGGTCGATAAATCATACGCAGCCTTTGTTAGAGGTAGGGGAATCTCTGACAATATTCTGCTTTCACAAGAATTGCTTAGAAATTATCATTTGGATGAAGGGGCTCCAAGGTACACTCTCAAGATTGATCTCATGAAAGCATACGATAATGTGAGGTGGGAGTTTGTATTAGAAATGGTTAGTCAGATGGGATTTCCTCAAATGATGTTACTTTGGATTGAGACCTGTGTTACCACCCCTAAGTATTCCATTAGTATTAATGGTGAATTAAATGGATACTTTGCAGGGAAAAAGGGCCTTAGGTAGGGTGACCCAATTTCCCCTTACCTTTTCGTGGTTGTTATAAAAGTTTTTAATGGAATGATGAAATCTATCACTGGAGGTGTGAGAAAGATTCCATCCCATCTTTGATTTGCGAATGATCTTATGCTCTTTTGCAAAGACTCTCTTGATTCTATTAAAGCAATTAAAGAGATTCTTCAAGTGTTTGAGGTCTTTTCAGGACTCCAACCTAATCTATCCAAGAGTCATGTCTTCCTATCTAGTGTGCATCCTGATATAAGAACAACGATTGTGCAAGAATTGGGATTTGGAATGGGGGAACTGCTTGTCAAGTACCTTGGGGTTCCTCTTATTACCACTAGACTTAAGGCTGTTGATTGCCAATCGCTTGTTGGCAGAATTACTGAGAAGGTTAGTTCATGGAGCAACAAGTTCTTATCTTATGCAGGAAGGGTCCAACTGATTAATTATGTTCTCTTAAGGAGGTTTCTGTGGTCTAGAACTAATTCAAAGCCTGGAGGCGCAAAAGTGGCATGGGATACTGTGTCTTTACCTAAGCAAGAAGGGGGCTTGGGGATTAAAGGGGTTGAGGATTGGAATAGAGCTGTTATACGGATTGGAATAGAGTTGTTATACTTAAACATGTAGGGAATGTTATTTGTAGTTCTTGTAGCTCATTATGGAGTTACTGGGTTGATACCTACTTGCTGAAGGGGAGATGTTTTTGGTCCGTTAAGATTCCTTCAAATTCCTCCTGGGCTTGGAGGAAGATTTTGAGCATGAGGGATGTTTTTAAGCCCCTAATTAACTATAAAATTGGTAATGGGAACACTATTTCTTTGGTTGGACCCTAGGCAACCTGAAGGGCCTATTCATGATAACAGGGGGATATGGTTTTGAGAGCCTCTTGGCCTGGGGATAGATGCTAAGGTATGCAACATTATTGATGGAAGGGATTGGACTTGGCCTTTGGCTGATCATGTGGACCTTCTGGAGTTGAAAGGAGGGATCCCTGCTGTTATGAAACCAAATCCTGATAGTGAGGACACCTTACAATGGTTACCTTCCTGCATGCTTGAGTTCAGCACAAATACTGCATGGGAACAACTCATAAATAAGGGGCAAATTCAAAACTGGCATAGTATTGTATGGTTCTCTGGAGCTGTGCCAAGGTATAGCTTTATTCTTTGGTTGGCAGTTCAAGAGAAGCTTACTACCCAAGATAAATTAATTTCTTTTGGTATCTTTCAAATAGCTCAATGTGTTTTTTGTAGAGAGGTAACTGAAACTCTTGTCCACCTTTTCTTTGCTTGTTCTTTTACAAAGAGAATCTGGTTATTTTTGCAAAGCAAACACAATGTCCAATGACCTAGCTTGGAGTGGAGGATTTTGGTTAATTGGTTTGCTATTAATATTAAGGGGAAAGGAATTGGGAAACTGATTAGTAGGCTTATACTTGCAACTGTGGTCTATGTGACTTGGAGAGAAAGAAATGATAGGATTTTCATAAATGACTATAAAGATGTGGTGACTATCTCTAAAGATTTGGTGGATTGCATTAGATTTAAACTTCACTTGAGCAGGGGTTACAAAAAAATTGTTCCTAATCTTTGATTTCAAAACAATGGGCTTTGCTTGTGGATATTTTTTATCCTCCTTGAGGGTTTCTTGGTCCTGAGTTTTCTGCCTTGGGTGCCTTTTTTTGATCTGCTGGTGTTTATTTATAATGTGTTGGTTTTTTGGTGATGGATAGTCTGTTTCTATAATGCTCTGTATTTTTGGCTGTGAAGGTTCCTGACTTGGGCATCTTTGTTGAGCTGCTGGGTTTCTTGGTGCTAGATGGTGCTGCTGGACTACTGCTGGTCTGCTTTTTTGTGCTGTTCTGCTAGACTACTGCGTTTTGAGCTGCTTGTTTTTCTGAGTTGATGGCCTGACTTGGGCGTCTCTTTGAGCTGCTTGCTGTTCTGATGAACTGTTGCTGCTGTTCTATTTTGAGTTGCTGGTCTGTTTTTGTGCTGCTAGTTGTTTGTACTGGTTTTTAGTGCTGGTTGGTACTATTGGTCTGGTTTTTGATGTTGTTTGGTATTGTCGGAATGCTCTGTTCTATTTTGTGCAGACTCCTCTACTTTGTTTTCCTTTGTTTTGCTCGTTTTTGTAATCTTTGTTTCTTGTGCAATGGGATGGGGGATCTTCTGTCCAACTATCTAGAAGATTGTCCATCCCTTTGTTTTACCTTGTACGTTTTTTGCCCTTTCGGTTTATGATATTTCATCTTACTTACCAAAAAAAAAATAGTTGTGTGATATGAATTCAATCAATATAAAAAGAAAACTCGTGGCTCTCCAAAATGCAACAAATTTAGACAATGTTTGAAAGCAAAAGGGGACATGATATGGAATATATACATATACATATATATATACATATACATATATATATATATATATATAATAAAACAGGAGTGTGTTTAAATGTTATCCAAGTCATATTTTTTTCCTCAAAACTATCATCAATCACTTACCTCACCCATCATCCTTTTATCAGACTCAAACGTCAAATCATATCACTCATTTCTATCACATATTTAATCATTTATATATTTTCTCTCTAAAAATATTACACTACTCATTTCTATCATATATTTAATTATTTATTATTTAATTAATTTATAATTAATATATTTTTAAAAAAATTAATATAATGAGATCTATTTTTTGAACGCTCGAATTTTATATTTTATCGTGCCTTTAGGTACGGGTTATGACTAGTATATATATATTTTAAGAGGCGAAGCCTTTACAAGATAAGGAATACTGTTGAGCCAAAAGTCCATTGATGTGATATGGTATATAAAAATAGAAATAGTACCTTAACTATTGGAAGAATGCTTGCTACGTAATAAGGAACCTACAAAAGAACAAAATCTGCACTGCACAATAGACCAAGCAAAAGGAGAGATATTCTTAGACTTGGCACCATTAGTCATCTAGCAAAGCGCATGAGATTTCTATTACGAAGTGGGATCAATCACTCCATGGGTCAATTGAATCCTTGTGAACAAAATAATCATCATAAGGTCTACTGCATGCGAACTCCTGGATATCTTTATGATTTGATTTTCTACTAAACCTTGAGATGAAATTGAGACCCATAAGAAGCTCTACAGTTGAGTTTCAGTCTTCGCTTCACTCGTGACATACATGTTTTGGAATAGAAGCACATTTGTCTCAGAAACCTTGTGATGTTCCCCAAAATTTCGCTGAAAATGTCACCTTACCATATTATGAGCAAGTGGAGCCAACCATTCAAGTATACTGATTGTAGGTGAGGGCGTACAGTAAGGGCCTTAAAAGAGGCTTAGACACGTAACTAAGCCAATGTTATTTGAAAAGATGAGTAGGATAAGTGGATGAAATAAAAGGGTGTTCTAATTGTCTATTAATGATAGGGCCAACTAGTTGGTCAGATAGTAGGTGGAAAGGATAAATGATCTCACCAACTAGGGTGCCTATGTTAGACAAGATAGTGATGAATGTCCCACAGTGGGCAAATGATACAGGTATTTATAACACAATGCCCTGGCAAGTTAGGTTGTCTGCCGCAGTCCTCTGACATCCATGTCAACCTTCAACTATTTTAATCGCGATGATACCGGTGGCTGCTCACCGCGAACTACATGTACCAACGTTAATTAGGCAAATATGATGCTTTCTGAAATGTAGCTTGGACAGGGTCCCCGAGGAATGGTGGGACATCCAAGGCAAAAGGGGGTTCCAAGGTCAATGATCATGATTATTCATTGCGGGACCATGATCACTGGAGGGCTATGTCCATGATGCTCCTAGAACGCTCCTTCCCGAGGTCTTTGCTTCCCTCCCTGAACCTTTCCTCGAGACTTTTTTCAAGGTGTCTGTTAGATTAAATTCACATAGTTTTGATTCTTCAGCCACTAATCCATATTTCCCAACATTTCATATGTTGATCTGGACCAATGACCCTAGGTACCTTAGGATTCCCTTCAAATCCCATTCAAGCACATCCCAATAGTCGGTGAGCCACACACTAGGAGGTCTACTCAATCAAACTAAACCTTTTAGGCCCTGTCCGAGGACTAGGCTAACAATCTTACTCATCTACCCTCATTGCTCAATTCTCCCTTGAGGAGAGCCATATTGTCCTGTCTTTAGGTGGAGACCCCTCCTCCTAGTTCAGTGCGTCAGTTAAGCATTGGTGTCCTATAGGTTGAGGATACCAATTCCATTAGCTGTGAACTCCTAACTTTGTGCCTTGTTTTCGCAGCGGGAGAAGCGAGTCAAGTTGAGGTTACCTCCAGACTTCCTTGGTGCCACTTTTGTCTGTCCTTGGTCGAGGGTCCATTTTGCCACTTTTGTAGTGGTTGAGGTTTCCTATGGCATTGGAACATTGTCGTAGACTATGGTGCAGTCACGCCACTAAATGTCTGTCATGACACTGGAATAATGTTGTTGCATTGTTGTCCGTACCAATCTTGATGGATCCTTTCGGGCGCCATTGTCATGTCAACTGATAACTCCTATCACTTGTCCTTACATAGTGTGGACATGTCCTGAATTTATTAGGTACTATGCTTACTAGTGCCAAACTTCACTTTATTCCAAGCACAACATCATAAACAGATGAAGCCATGAATTCCCTTCAGCTTTGCCCTTAGGGAGTTTATGAAACTTTTCGGTAACATATCACATTTGCACAGTAAAGAGCCAAAGTAGGACCATAAAGAGTAGATGGAGGATCAGTCAACAACTTAAATTTGGAATGATATAAAGATACCTTTTTATAGACCAAGCTACCACAGTGAAGCCGCATGCTAGCATATTTCATTCTATCATAGTATTTTTCAAAAACATTGGATAACCTTATTAACCTCAAAGAGCCACAACTTGATGTCATGCAATTCTACAAAATAGTGCTTCCAGCCATCTCTAAAAGGCTCAATATTGGCCAATTGTCTCATTGTCATCTGTGGGTGCTTTCCATAAATGATAGACAACTAGTAACGAGCATGAAATTTACTGTTGTTTATTTATTCCTACCACTAGGTAGGTGGTATTTGATAAAATTGAAAATTAAATGCTAAATTTTAAGTATTGAATGCTGAATTTTTTAATTCGCAAACTGTTTAATATCAACTGAAATTTAAGTATTGAATTGAATTAAACTGTTTGACAAATATAAGGAGCTAAAGTCTGAAAATTATTATTATTCTAATTTTGTCATTCTCTTTAACCATCACATTGCAACTACCTTATTTCTACCACCACCATCACAATAGTAGTAGTGGTAGTGGTGGCAACAACACAATAGTGGTGGTAGTGGTGGCATAATGGTGGTGGTGACAGTGGTGGCGGTGGCAGTGGCACAATGGTGGTGGTGGTGGTAGTGATGGTGATTGTGATGGTGGTGTTGACGGTGGCACAATGGTAGTGGCCGTGATGGTGGTAGTGGCGGTGGCAGCGATGCTGGTGGTGACAGTGATGGCATAATGATGGTTGTGGCGGTGACATAATGCTATTAGTAATGGTGGTGGCATAATAGTATTAGTAATGGTGGTGATGGTGGTTGTTGCACAATGGTGGTGGTGGTGCTAGTGTTGGTGATGGTGGTGATGACATAATGGTGGTGATGATAGCGGCACAATGGTGGCAATGGTGGTGGCGGCGGCACAAGGAGTCAGTGGAGATAGTGGTGACAACAATACAATGGTGGTGGTTGTGATGGATGGTGGGTATTGAAAAAGTTAAGAGTGTAAGATGGATTGAGGATATATTTGTCTATTATGAGAAATTGATAAAATCCTTACTAACAAGCATTTTTAGCATTAAGTGATAAATTGGTGGCTTGCTACTTAAAATTTTAGCCTATTTTTAAGAAGTGCTTAAAATATTAAGTAGTATGAGTTTTAGGTTATCAAACGGGTTTAATTTATTAAGTGTTTAACGTATTCAGTTTTAAAATTTAAGTGGTGTTATCAAACAACCCCTTTGTTCCAAACTTTAGACTGTCCTACTTAGAGAAGCTGAATAAAACTTAGATAGGTTACTTTCAGTGGATCAACATAAGTTTGCTTATGGGTAGTATACTCAAATATTCTAATCCAAGGAGACAACTCTACAGATTTCCCCTCCTAAAGCTGCCACAGAACCTTCTGAGGGAACACAAGAAATTTCACCCCCTCTTAAATCAACACTGACTTGAATTCTCCTTAGACTTACAAGTCTAGATGCAACTGTGCTGTAGCCGCAACAAATCTCTCCATTTTCTTAATTTTCCTCTCCATCTTCTTCAGTCTATATTCCCAGCCACACCAATTGCAACCAATCTCAACATTACAAGAAATTTGTTTTTTTAGTGGCAAGATTGAGATTGCGGCTAAAAATGTTGCCACTAAAATTATGTCTTTAGTGATAAAAAATATACCCGTGAATATTTCAAGTATAATCTAATTAGTGACAATTTAAATGTTGCATCCAAAATGTATTACAAAGCAGTCACTAATTCTCTGGTGCCAAAATTTTGTGTATATGAAAACACATTTAGTGACAAAATTTGATTTTAGCCATTGTTTTTTAATTAATTTAAGTTTTTAGTTGGTACAAACCATTTCTATATAATTTTAGTGGCCACATTATTGTCATCACAAATTCTCTAGGTGTCTTATTTTTAGCTACATTTTATTTTGTCACTCTATGTGACACGATATTACTGGCAACCAAGAGTTGTAGCTAATTCCTCCCAATCCCCACTAACCCAACATCGTTTTTACATAGAATTATATTTCCACTATATTGAGCAATGCTACATGTATCTTATTTGCTGACCTTATTATTCTCTGTCATTAAATTGATAGTGAACCTACTATTAGTTTGGACTCACTATAAATTTAGCGGTTATGATCCATCATGTCAACAAATAAGGTCACATGAGTGAATATTTTTTTTCGTAGCACCAAGCAATCACCCCAAAACCCTTCATATTCATACCTACATACTTACCTATCACCTACTCAACACCCAAAAGCTAGAACCATCCCCCCCTCCCCAAACTCATCACCATTAAGTTTTGGGACAAACAAATGGAGCAAGGACCAAACTCACTAAAACTAAGCCACCCTCGCCTATCACTTTTCTACAATCCATCAACAGTTAAAGAAATACAATCGTGCTTCCTAGTGGGTAAAATCATATCAGACACCATTCTCAACAAAAATGAAGTCAGCAATGTCCTTCTATATGCATGGAATAGCATTAATGGTTTTTCCATAACCCATTGGGAGAAGAATACTTTCTTTTTTATGTTCAAATTAGAAACGGATAGAGACAAAATTCTAGCTAAAAGCCCATGGTTAGTAATAGGCAACCTCCTAGTTCTAAAGACAAGCTCCCCTTGAAGCGTCTATTCAAGACTTAATGTTCAACTCATTAGAATTTTGGGTTCAAATTTGGGGTTAACTTTTGGATATAATGACCAAAAATAATTCCTAGAGGATTGGAAATTTTATAGGTCAACCAACACAGCTAGAGGAGTTCTAACAAGAACTGTTGTTGACTAATAATTACCTTAGAGTTAGATGCGAAATCGGCATCACTGAACATCTTAAAAGGGGATTTTACTTAATGCGTGAAGCTTGATGATATATGGATTGAAATCAAATATGAACGTCTATTAAATTTTTGTTAGCAATAAGGAAGGATTGGCCATACTCAGAATTTCTTTCCAATTAAATCTAAAGCAAAACCTCCTGAATATGGTCAAAACTAAGAGCCTTGCCTCATTCAACATCAACTTTATATTAAGAGAATTTTTCCTTCAAAGAAAATACAGAATTGGCTCGCAGGGAAAAGATGCAGTAGCTGTTGACTGAACCGGGAGGTCAATTTTCGTTACCGATGTGTGAAGCCTCCAATGGAGATGATAGTGTACGCACCCAGCAACAAGTGGATACAATCTCCCATCTAGTACAAATCAACAACAACCTCTGACAAGAATCATTACAAGCCTTCTTCAAAAGTGCAGAGAATAGACCTTCCCAATTCTTCTTCGAAAGTGCAGAGAACAGACCTTCCCAATTAGGTCTTAGTTTTTCATGAGTGGGGCCCTTTCCTACAGGGAGGAATTTCTTGAGAACTAAATGTCCTACTTTGAAACTCATATGTCTAACTCTTCGGCTATAATAATATATGGCTGTCTTTCTCTAATAATCAAGGATGCGCCGCAAGGCTTTATCCCTCTTTTTATCTAAGAGATCTAGGTTAAGCGAAAATGACTCATCGTTATACTCGGGGTTGGAGAGCTCTGTTCCTGGAGATGAGATGCTTGTTTCCATAGGAGCCACTACTTTAGTCTTATAAGTCAAGGCAAAGGGCGTCTCTTAAGTTACCGACTTGGTTGTAGTTCTGTAAACCCATAATACTTCTGGGAGATGCTCCACCTATCATCCTTTTAAGGCCTCAAGTTTGGTCTTCAGAGCTGCTTTTATAGTTCGAATAGTTACCTTTGCTTGTCCATTCGACTGAGAATGAGCTGGTGCTGAGAAGTAGTTTTTTATGCCTAGCTCGGCCTTTAAACCTGAGATTGTCAAATTGCTTCCCATTGTCTGAGACAATTGCCCTGGATATTCCAAACCTGCAAATTATGGATTTTCAGGTGAAGCACTTGACCTTCTGCTTTGTAATTTTTGCAAGAGGCTCCATCTCAGCCCATTTGGTGAATAGTCTACCAAAAGTATAGCAAATTTGCATTGTCCAATGTTATTAGGAAGAGGTCCGAGTATGTCTAATCCCCACCGCTAGAATGGCTAAGGACTAACCACCGAAGAGAGGAGCACTAGTGGGAAATGTGGGATATTGGCATGCAACTGGTAGGTCTTGCACCTTCTGACCAACTTTTTCGCGTCTTTGAGCACAATAGGCCAGCAGTATCCTTGTCCTCGAGTTTTTCTAGTCAGAGCTTGAGCTCCGATGTGATTACCACATATGCATTCATGGATTTTTTTCTCAGAATGTAGTCAGCTTCTTCATCCCCTACACACCTTAGGAGTGGTGTCAAGAAGCCTCGCTTGTACAGGTTCCCTTATAGGAAGGTGAATCTAGACAACTTGACTCTTAGCTTTGCTATTTCTTTGGAATCCACTAGTAATGTTCCATTCTGAAGGTATTCTTTGATTGGGTGTATTCAAGCTGGGTGAGTCTATATAGGGAAAACGTCTCCTTCCTCGAAGCTCACTGATGGCTCGGCTAAGTGCTCAACTACAATTAGTTTATCCAGGTTCTCCTGAGAGGTTGTGGCTAGTCTGGCCATAGCTCTGGAGTTTTCAGCTCTGGCGACATGCATGACTTTAACCTTGCAAATTTTTTTATTAGCTCTTGTACCTTCCTTATGTATAGAACCATTCT